CATGTAGGTGCTGGGAATCATCGGCCTGGAGGGAGGGAGGGAGAGGGGTGGTGGGCACAGAGACCCCTGAAAAAAACCTGTCTCCTTGTGGCTGGATCGATGGGGATTGGCCACAGCTGGGTTGGTAATTCAGGGCAGACAAATCCCAGGGACCTGAGGGCCCTGGCAGGAGGTGATGGAGGTGTCTCCCCAGAGCCCACCCAGGTGTCCCTGCAGCCGTGAGCTGTGCTGGTGGGATGAGCCAACAGCCAAGTCCTGGGGGGGCTGAGCTGGGGGGTACAGGGCAGCCAGGGGTACCCATGGGGCTGATCCTCTGTGCCCCACAGCTGCCCAGACGGGAAGATAGCCCCGAGCTGCCTGACCTGTGACAACTTCTGCCTGCACGGCGGGACCTGCTCCATCGGGGACAAGACGCAGCTGCCGGAGTGCCTGTAAGAGCCTGGGGGGCTTGGGGGTGCAGGGGGGGACAGGGGGGCTGTTTGCCCCCCAAGATGTGACTGACACACCCCGCTCTGTGTGCCCCCCACCCCACCCTGACCCCAGGTCTGTGCCCACCTCTCCCTCCCCCCCTCCCTGCATGCCCCTGCCCCGCTAATCCCAGTGCTCTCCCTGCACTCCCAGGTGTCCCGTGGGGATGACGGGGACGCGCTGCGAGGAGTTCATCGTCAGCGAGCAGCAGAGCAGCCGTAAGTGGGGGCAGTGCTGTGACCCCTCTGCCACACCACACCACACCACACCACAAGGGGACCCCTGGTTTTGGGGATCCAGTGCCCCTGTGCAACTCCTGAACCCCTTTTTGTGGTGGAGGGGGGACAGGGCCAGCCCAGGCGGCTGGACCAGGGGTGTGGGGTGTGTGGGCACTGACCCCCCCACAGGCTCTGACCGTTCCCATCCCTTCCTCCCGCAGGAACAGCCTCCATCGTCATCCCCATCCTGCTGCTCCTCATCCTCCTCACCGTGGTGGCTTTTGTCTGGTACAAGTGGAGAATTAAAGGGTGAGTCAGGGCAGGGCAGGAGCCCTCGGTGCCAGCTGTGAAAGCCTCGAGGGCATGGGACAGCTCTGGGGGGGAAGGGGGTGTCACTGGCACTGACCCTCTGTGTCCCCACACCCAGTGCCAAGGGCTTCCAGCACCAGCGGATGACCAACGGTGCCATGAATGTGGAGATTGGGAATCCCACCTACAAGATGTACGAGGGGGAGCCCGATGACGACGTGGGGGAGCTGCTGGACGCCGACTTCGCCCTGGACCCCGACAAGGTGAGGGGCCGTCGGCTGCTCGGGCTCCAGCGTGAACTGGGGGGTGCTGGGAGCGGGGGGCACGCTGCTCTGGCAGTCAGGACCCTCTGTGCAGGGGGGCTCTGAGGGGTTGAGAAAGCTTTGGGGCTGGGGGGATTCCGAGGGATCACAAGGCTTCGGGCCTGGAGGGGGGATGTCTCTGAGGGGTCTCAAAGGCTTTGGGGCTGGAGGCTGTAGGGGGAGGGGCAGCAGCACCACAGGCCCAGCGGGGACCTGGAGGAGGTCACGGCTGGTGGGGGGTCTCACCGGGGCACCCCTGGGGGCGGCAGTTCTGGGCAGGGGGGGTTGTCCGTGCCCACTCCCACCCGCTCCTCCCCTCTCCACAGCCCACCAACTTCACCAACCCCGTGTATGCCACACTCTACATGGGCGCCCACAACAGCCGCAACTCCCTGGCCAGCACGGACGAGAAGCGGGAGCTGCTGGCGCGGGGGGACGATGACCTGGCGGACCCCCTGGCATAGGGGCCGGACGGGGGGCGAGGGGCTGCGGGCCCAGCACAGCCCCCGCCACAGGGGCGGGCGGGGGGGGGGGCCGGAGGGGCCACGAGCCGCTGTATAAATGTACAAATGAAGGATTATTACTTTTCTATGTGAGCAGTATTATTACCTGTATATTCCCCGGTCCCAGGCCTCGGCGTCTTCATTGCCAGACCCGGCTTTGGTTTATTTTAAATCTCTTTACATTGGGGCCCCCCCCAACCCTCCCTTCCCCTCCCTCCCCTCTCCTCCCCCTCCCACCCTCTCCCACCCCCGGGACAGGCTGGCATGTCGGGGTACGGGGTGAACACCCCGGGGCCGAGGCTGACGGGAGATGGGGGGTCACCGCTATGGGGGGCATGGGGGGAGCGGCAGAGCA